GGTCAACTTGATTTCCTATGAAAGTTTTTGTTTATTAAAAGTTATTTTAAATATTTTTTCAAGTGTTGAGGTTTTTTATATATTTATATAATGATTTTATAAATATAATTAAACAGGAGGAAGAAAAGTGCAATTATGTGGATTGGCTCAATACGGGAATCTGGTTGGAATAACAATCGGCTATACAATCACAGCTTCCATAAGCATGGTGTAAGTTTTTTTTTATTGCATAATTATATTTTCTCTTTTTTTCTTCAATTATTTCTCAAATTTTCAAAGTCAATTTTAGCAACCTCTTCTTTTTTTTGACTTAGTTACAAATCAAGCATGTTTGTTAGTTGTAAGTTGTAAGACAAGACATATCTCATGATTTTATTTAGTGGTCTACCTTTATGATATGATAGGTAGAGTTATACTATACAAAATTCCAAAAACTCATTTTGTTTTTGTTGGTTATTTGATGCAAATGGGGTAACATGTTTTTTGAATTTAAGGGGATGGTGTAATACAAAAAGAATGAAATTTCAAACATAAGCAATGAAGAATTGAGTTAGATCTAGTCATCTAGCTACTAGGATTGTGGAATTGAATTGTTTTGAAATAGAAGAATTAAAGCATCATACTAACAAATAATTTAAATGATTCAATGCAAACAGGGCAGTGAAGAGGTCGAACTGTTTCCACAAAAATGGGCATCATGTGAAATGTGCAACTTCAAACACACCTTTCATGATCGTATTTGCAATCATCCAAATCATTCTTAGCCAAATCCCAAATTTCCACAACCTCTCTTGGCTCTCAATTCTAGCGGCCGTTATGTCCTTTTGTTACGCTTCCATTGGCATTGGTCTCTCCATCGCCAAAGCGGCTGGTAAAAAAACATTCTTGATTATGCTTATAGTAATTTTCAACTTTTTCAAGAAATGTTACAAATTCTAATGGGTTTTTCATGAAACAAAAATTATAAAGGTGGCGGTGAGCACGTACGAACGTCCCTGACAGGAGTTACGGTCGGGATTGATGTATCGGGTTCCGAGAAAGTATGGAGAACGTTCCAAGCGATTGGGGATATTGCATTTGCCTATGCATACTCAACTGTGCTCATTGAAATACAGGCAAGTAGTCACTATGTATAAATGTCCTTCTACTGTTTTGTAAGCATGTTGAGGGTTGACTTATTGATAGTAGGAGTTAGGGAGACAGCAATATAAGAGATAGTCCACATGAATTGAATTGTGTGCCGTTTGGTCGCAAAGTAAACATCACTGCGTGCATGGACCTACCCATTAAATATGAAGAAAGTTATTAGAAATAAGTCTTTGTAGGGAAACTTGATAGGAGCCAAAAATAAAAAATAAGTAGCGAGAGGAGCCAGAGAGTCTATAAAGAATCCAACAAAAATTGAAACCATTTTTAATTTTGAAAACTGTCTAAGAGATATGGGTGAATTAACTTGACCACCATTTTAAGACATACTTAATTTAAAATAATTATTAGCCTAGAGAAATGATAAAATAACTTTAAAAAAAAATTCTGTTTAACTTGGTTAGCTTCTTTTTTTCTTGTCAAAAGATTAGCTTTTTTTTTATGTGTATCTTTTTAGCTCTACTAATTAAACTATGTAATTTTCTAAACCATGGCAGGACACACTAAAAGCAGGTCCACCATCAGAGAACAAAGCCATGAAAAGAGCAAGCCTTGTGGGTGTTTCCACAACAACCTTCTTCTACATGTTATGTGGTTGTGTTGGTTATGCTGCCTTTGGAAATGATGCACCCGGAAATTTCCTAACCGGCTTTGGTTTCTATGAACCATTCTGGCTAATCGACTTTGCCAATGTTTGCATAGCAGTGCACCTTGTTGGTGCTTACCAAGTCTTTTGTCAGCCCATCTTTCAGTTCGTAGAGAGCCAAAGCGCAAAACGCTGGCCAGATAACAAGTTCATCACAGGAGAATACAAACTCCAAGTCCCATGTTGTGGTGAATTTAGTATCAACTTCTTCAGATTGGTTTGGAGGACTTCATATGTTGTGGTCACCGCGGTTGTAGCAATGATCTTCCCATTCTTCAACGATTTCTTGGGTCTTATTGGAGCAGCTTCCTTCTGGCCTTTGACAGTTTACTTTCCCATTGAGATGCACATTGCTCAGAAGAAGATTAGAAAATTCTCTTTCACTTGGACTTGGCTAAAAATCTTGAGCTGGGCTTGTTTCATCGTCTCTCTAGTTGCTCTAGCCGGATCTGTGCAAGGACTCATAACAAGTCTCAAGGATTTCAAGCCTTTCCAGGCCCCATAATGAAAATATGTGTTCTCACCAAAACGTCTCAAAGAGCACAATTTCCATGCACTTCTCTTCTCCCCAATAAAAGTGTCTATTAATTTCTTTGTAGTTTATTGGTGTTTTATCACATAGCAAAATGTACTTGTACTTGCTTGTTTGAAACAAATCTATCAGCAATTAGTCCCATTTCCTCTTCTTGGTGCTCACTCAGAATAAACATGAAGCAAAGGGAAAATGAAAGAATAATAGATTGCACAACACAAATTAATTAAGCAATAACCAATCTTACTATAATAATAGCTAGCATGTTTTTTTTTTTTGGTAATGAGCTTGCATGTTATAAATTGGGTTGGATCTTCTCTACTACGGTTACAAAACAACAAAATTTAATAAAGAACTAGTCACTATAGACAAAGATAAAACACGCACGGACTAACGTTCATATTAATGTTTCGTAAATGTGACTATCTTCAACAACATCTGCACTATGAGGAAAACATATAAGATATATAAGATGTATAATATTATTTAAAAATAAAAAAAAAAAACAACATCTGTACTAAACGTTAAACTTGTTTACAAATATGTATTGAAAAAGTGATTTTTTGGTTACTAGAAGAAGGGGTTAATGATCCATTCCATGGAAATGGAAAGAAACAGCTACTAAAAAGTACTCTTCAAGTATACGGATTACCCCAAAACTTTTTAAAAAAATACTTGCAAGTATATGAATTACCCGAAAACTCAAGAAAAACTAACTAAACTCTACTTGAAAGTATATGAATTGTCTAACACTTCAGATATATATGGTACTAGTTTGGTTCCCAGTTCAGATCGAGTGTTACCCGAATCCAAAGTACTATAACACCGAGATCCATTCGAGCATGTCTCAATAACATACTCGGATCGGGATCAAGTCTTTTTAGTTCGGGTTTGGGGTTTTTTACATATGCCTACTTCAAGTAGGCTACTTGGACTGTTAATAATGAGGAAAATGTTTTCTTCTCCAGCTTAACGTGAGAAGCATTTGCAGTTGCGGGAAGCTACCAAATATTTTGGTTCAAAGGTCCAACTCCTAGTGATATGTTTACCCACTAGAGTTTGGTTTGCTTCTTGGGCATACAGATTGAAACTTATACTGTTGTCTTAGTTTCTCTCTAAATATGATGAAAGCAAAGATCACTTGCTCATTCGTCATGATCAAAACGTATTGAATATTTGGCCACCCTTGTAGACTACTAGTCTTTGAAGTAATCTAGGATTACTTCTCTCTATAAATTAAAAGATCCATGCGACCCCTTGTTTTTGTTTTCCACTTTTGGCAAGAATACACATACACTACAAGAAAAAATAGCGACATGGTTGACATATTGTAAAACCAAAACATTTCATTTTTCTAATAATATTTACATTCTTATCATAATATATATATATAACTAAACGTTGAACTTGTCCCTCAGTATTTGGCTAAACAAATTTGAATTTTATGTATGGTCAGACCAATGAACAGATAGGGGGAAATGGAGAAGAACAAAACGTATATGAAGTATATATAGTATTGGCAACTTGTTTGAAACTGAGTAAAAAGTATAACTAAGTTACTACGACAACTTATAAATATGATTAAGAAACAGAATTACACGCATGGGAAGTCAAATGTCAACTTTCAAAAGCTATAGTGCTCAATTAAGTGCTAAGTATAAGTACACTCGTTAACCCTTACAAATTAATTAAATCCTACCACGATCTTATATGTATAACTAATGTTCAATTTGCGGCATTTCTGAAATTTTCATTAGGATAACGCGTTGAATGAAAAAAAAAGAGTCAAACAATATATTTTATTACTCAAGCAATTTTGTTTGAATCGATTGTAGAATTTATTTAAAACACACAAAAAAAAAACTGTTTTACAATGACTATGACCTTTAGTCTAAATTGTTTTTAAGATTAGAGAGCAGAAGAAGTAGAAAAGCTATAATATATTTGCTTTTTGAAACTATGACACACGAGTGGAAAACTATAAGACCATCATTATTGGTGGTCTCTTAACAAATTTTAGAGCTAAGACTTGTTAAAAGAAACTATTTTATAAAAGTCTTTTGTTCAATTTGTTTGCATTTCAAAAACTCTAAAGTTTCTATTTAACTAGAACACAAAATTATATCTGCCTCAAGATCTATTGGTAATAGAGATAATTTTGTTTTTCTTTCTTAAACAGTATTTCTAGGCTCGTAACATTTAAAAAAACACGAGACTTAGTAAGCTCTATAATTAGTGTTGAATTGGAACATGCTGTTTTGTTCGAGTATTTTTTATAAGAACTATACTTTTTAGTTCATCAACAACGTATTTATGCCAAACTTAAAACACCGATAGTAGTAATATAATGACGATGTTCTCTCCTCTTATAAAGTTTAGTTGTAAAATATTAGGAGATGCTCTCTATTATATCATAAAGTATCAAGTTATTGGGAAAACTTAACAGTTTAATTTCTTATATTGCGGCCGTCTATGCCTTTGTCCCACATGTTACAAATTAATCTTAAAGAAGAATTTTTCATCTCTATTTGGTTTCATCTATAAAAACAACATCCATTATCTCCTTTACACATAACTCCAATAAGTGACTCTTTATCATCTAGCACACAAACAAAGTACAAAGTCTCGATTTCTTTATTTCTCTCTGAATCTCTCTTTGCGGGTCACTCTTCATCAATGGATGACAAAGCAAGAAGCTTAAAGATCAACAAGAACATGGAGGATTTTGCGGACGTGGAAGAAGAGATGGAGTTAAGGAGAGGTCCATGGACCGTTGAGGAAGATTTAGAGCTCATCAATTACATTGCTACTCATGGTGAAGGTCGATGGAACTCTCTCGCTCGTTGTGCCGGTATGATACACTAACACTAACATAGACACACTTAGATTAATATAGGTATATTTAAGCTTGTGCATGTTTGTGTTTGGGTGAAGAAAATATAATAACAAACCAAATATACACAAGTTGCATATAACTTAATTAAACTTTTGTTTAATTCTTCCTCATCCATATTAATTTGTCTTTTGCTTTTTTAATCCTATTCGCCACTCTCTTGATCATATTTGTTTTGTTTGAAATTTCAAGAAATTGGTTTTGATATAGAATTAAAAGTATGCATATGATTCTAATGAAATCTTTTTTGTCGCTACACAGACTCAATTATTATGATTCTAATGAAATCTTGTTTTCGCTATTCGGACTCAATTATTACATATTTTTGGATATGGATTCAATTATATAACCCTCTACGTTTTGAATAAAGTAAACTATATTCGTGTTGACATAATAAAAATGAAGATAACAAATTAATTCTAATATAATGATAAACATCTATATGGGGAGAGCACTATCGCAATGGGAGAAAGTTTGCTGGAGACAAAGACCCTTTTAGGGAGTTTGCCTCATTAGCAACGGTTCCAATAATTTCAAGAGTCATTTTTATAACTTTACCAAATATGATCATAATCATGAGTTTCTTGCGTATGAAATCATCATACAGTATACGTATACACGATGATGTCTAAAATAATAATCTCTTTCCAATATGAAACAGGACTCAAAAGGACCGGGAAAAGCTGCAGACTTCGGTGGCTAAACTATCTCCGACCAGATGTCCGCCGTGGCAACATAACCCTCGAAGAACAACTCTTGATTCTTGAACTTCACTCCCGTTGGGGCAATAGGTATATATTTTTTTGTTTGAAGTATAAAGTTTTTAGACCAAACTATAGGTAACGTTTAATGATCATTAGTACACTTTAATCTTTTACTATCTCAAAGATGTATATGGTTAATTTGTATTAAGAAATTATTTGATCACAACTTCTTAGTTATTAATACATTAATTTTGTTTTCTTGTGATTATTGTAGATGGTCTAAGATTGCACAATATTTACCAGGAAGAACAGATAACGAGATCAAAAACTATTGGAGAACACGTGTTCAAAAGCATGCAAAACAGCTTAGGTGCGACGTGAACAGTCAACTGTTTAAAGACACAATGAAGTATCTTTGGATGCCTCGGCTCGTAGAACGGATCCAAGCCACCAACACAAGGTCTGTTTCCACTTCAGACCAGCTCGTGATCAACAACAACAACAACAACACCAACATGGAACATTGTGGTTTAATAATGAGTAACCCTAATGGTTACATCATCACGTCGGAACATTCCAACGTGGCGGTATCTCCTTCATCAGATTTGACGGAGTGTCATGTGAAGATTTGTTCAGATCAGGATTTGGTGGAACAACAACTGTCATCGCATAATTATTTGGATAACAACAGTGGATTAATGTTCGGAGATGTTACGAAGATGCAAGATGAGAGTTACCTTAATTGGTACGAGAATAATGTTAATGGGATAATACCTAATTACTCGGACAGTTTCTGGAACATTGGATATGATGAAGACTTCTGGCTCTTACAGCAACAACAACAAGTCATCGACAATGGAAACTTCTGAAAAGACACAAGAAGCTATTCAAAAAGTCATTTTAAAGGGAAAAACAAAAGTAAAAGTTTCTAATAATTAGGGTGTGAAAAGAATTTGCTATAAATTATTTGAGGATTTTTTTTTTTAAATATACTAGGATTTTGTTATTTTGTAGTAAGTTTGATTGATATTTTGGAGTTGCGATACTATTTTTTGTGCTAATAATTTCTAGAATCAATTCAGAGAATCGGATTAATAACCACATCTTTTTATTCTCATTTTATTCGAAAGATGATACACTTAGCTTTCACAATAATAAATGTGATTTTCTTCATGGAAGCATGCTTATATAATAAACACACTAACTACATATTATAATGAGATGATTTGCCAAAGCAACCATATAATATAATTGGTTCCACGCGACACTTCTTAAAAATTAAGTCACAACCAGACAAAACAATACTCATATTGAAAAGATATATGTAATGACTTTGGCATGATAAAAATGAGAAAATTGTAAATGGATACTCCAGTTCATGATGCTTTTAGGAAACATGTCTATGGGACCTGTATATGGGAAAAAAGGGGACCAAAGTGTGTGAAAGAGCTTTGTGTTCAAAAGTAAACAATCCAAAAATATTTGTCATTTGTTTTTTCTCCACGTAGAGACGTCTCAATGGTTAAGGTATGAGCTTTTAAGATGGCCATTGAGGAGATTATTCTTTGAAGAATGTAATTATATTATGAAATTTTAGGTTATTAAACTATGTGTTTAGTGATGATTTTTTTTCCCACCATTAACGCGTGCAAATCCTTATTATATTAATTGAAACCCCTCATTATTGTACGGATGATCCCACCATTATGATAAGATCCTTTCTTGACACTGCAACACGTCCCTCTAAACATTTTATTTTTATCTACTTTAAATATATTTTAAATATTCATTCGCAATGATATAATAACACTCTCTAAAAAAATGTAATTTTGTTATGACAATTAAAAAACTTTTGACTTTAAAAAAAAAAAAACCTTCAATGTACATTTATGCAAATATTACTAATTATCATTATTTCAACAGGATGAGATTATTTTGTTTGCCAAAAAAAATAAAAAAATCTATGTAATAACTTGGGGAATTTCAAAAATACCCCTTTTCTTATACCACTTTTTAAAAATACCCCTATTTCGAATTTTATCAAAAAATCACTATAAATTTTGAAATTTATCAAAAAAACAGGTGTAAGCTTATATGTAAAGACACAAATTATCTTTATATGTGTGTAAATTTACATATATATTTCATAAATACCGTATAAATACCTTTTAAAAATCATTTAAAAACCTTATAAAAACCTTGTAAACCTTTTAAAACCTTATAAAAACCTTATAAATGCCGTTTATAACCTTTTAAAACCTTATAAATATTTGGATTTAGTCTCCCAGTAGTAATGATGATCTTGATGTACCTTATCAACTATATAAAAGTTTATAATTTTTCATATTTGAAAAGGGGTATTTTTGAAAATGGATAGAAAATAGGGGTATTTTTAAAAAGGGTAGACCAAAAGGGGCATTTCTCAAAAAATACTCTTTTAACAATTGAAAAGGCTGGTAACATCTAGAAGAGTTCATGTGTATGGTCGGTGTAGAATCTAAATTTTTGGTGTTATACTTTAGATATTGTTTTTCTAGTTTTATTCAAGAGAATCTAATATAGTTATTTTTTTTTTTTTTTTTGGGGCCAAAGAGTCTGGTAGATTTCATTTCATATATTTCGGTATACAAAACTTTTCTCAATCTTTAGTTATGAAAATGTTTTTTACTAAATGGAAATATTGAGATGTTTTGGTTTACTAAATCGAAGATTATACGATCGATAAGTAAAACGTAACATGACACTTTTAGTTTTGATCGTTCGGTACAACTATTGTTTGTTTCTTTATCCAAACTTATTGAGGTTCCAAATTTTGTATGCAGATAATAAATAAAAAAGAAAACTAGTAGATAAAAACCGATGCTGATTCTTTCTTTATAAACATTTGAAGAAAGACACAACAACATCACTATTGAAGACATGACTAGGTAGGTTGTGTACTTGTGTTTGTGTTAGAGACAGGTCAAGGTCAACGCACGCGTCAGGTAATGTACCACCATATCGATTCAATCCATATACGGTTACAAAACCGTATACGAAACCATCATCTATACATGCAATGTATTTCAATACATATTCGCTACGTACGTGTGGATAATTTGTAAATTCGATTATATATAGATTTTAAAAATATAATTTTGATACATTATTACGTCGACGTAGAATCTTGTTATAGTGACGGGTGCCAACTCTATCCATATCCAATATTAATCCATTGAACGTGCGTGATTCGACCCATTAATTAGGGACACTTACTCGGTGTAGCAAATCTTGGTAATCTTGGCGATGTTTCAAGGGTTTTTTCTAAGAGATAGACTAATCTATGGTATGTTAGTTTGAAAATCGCAAACACGATTGAGATTTCGTTTTTTAAGTCGTGGGATATTTTTCATATAATAATCGCACGACGACTACTCGTTCTAATAATCGCAAGATTGTTCGCTTTTCAATTAGTTGAGACTAATCGCGAGTTTGTTCGTATATAGCACATTTAAAACAACTCAAAATATATAGCACATTTAATTTGACATAATCAGTTTAGAAGACCATGTAAACATACTAATAATTTAGTAGTGTTCTAAACAAGAGGGATCAGAAAATTAAATATGGAGAGAGCAGAATACACAGCGAAACCACTTAAGCATGGATCTGGATCTGAATATTTAAGGGTTTTTTAAACTAAAATTTATTAAGTTTTTTAACCATATACATTAGATACAAACTAATTACCAACTATCTTTACTGATTCTCAAATCTGAGTAAAATTACTGTATATAGAATATGTTTACAAACATCTCTAGTAAAAATAGTAAAATACTATATAGATATAGAATGTTTACAAACTAATTACTATATATATAATATGTTTACAAGCATCTCTAGGACCGCTAGATATAAAACAATACATACTATGAGAGATTAGTACAAAACTTAGATAGCTCAAGAGGGATATATAAAAGAGGGGGAGTATGAATCCTAGGAGTATACAACAAAATCTTGATCGATTTAGTAAAACTAAACAACTGATTTATAAACTCCACGGAATCAAGAAATCTAGAAGATGAAAATAGTAAGAGGGCAAAAGAGAGTAGAGAAAAGGTCTTACAAGGTCAAGAAAACAAGAAGAAGAAGAAATGAGACCAATTATTAAAGCTCAGGTTAAGATAGCGTCAATGTTTTGATCACGATTCAGAACAAGTCTTGGTCATCTTCTTCTTCTTCTTTTTCTTCGTCTTGGAACATCCTTTATGTCCTAAGCCAATCACATATCAATATAAATCTTCATAAGTTATGCTTTACGTATCAAAAACAAGAACTACAAGTGTGATCTGCGTGAATATATACCTTGATTATGGCACTTTGGTGGTTCTTCAATACATGAAACGCTTTCCCATTCATCCATAGCTCTTGAGAGAAAGATAGAGAGAGAGCCTTGTGTGAATTATATATTTATAAAGATACACGCACGAGCGTAACTAGACTATGGAGATACATCATACATGTACCTAGCCTAGTACAACATATATACAATTTCTGTTTTGTCTATATGAAGTAAAAACAAAAACAAGAAGGTTAACATTTTCTTTTGACGTATACTTTTATTTTATGTTTTAATATTTATGATTCACATATTTAATACTTTCGAGAAAACTTACACCTATACTCATACCCTCCAATATATATGGGTCGTACTTTAATTACGTAGAGTTTTCTATTATTTGTTTTACTCTAATATGAAGGGGTAAGCGAACTAGCTCATTGAGTCTTAGGTTTCATGTAAACTCATATTGGATAAAGCATTCGAGCCGAAGTTCATATAGTCCAAGAGGCTACGCATACGGCCTACACACACATTGAATTTGTTAGAAACAAATTAAACTACAAGATCGTGAAAACTCGTACATAGACGTACGTACCAATTAATACAAAGTTATCGTAATGTTTTTTTAGATGTCAATTAATTAAGGTATTAGCTAGCGAACAAAAAGACTCCATTTGAAAACATCGGGAAAGATAGAAAGGACGTGAAGAAAATTATGACCAATCAATAACATGGAAGAAGGAAAATGGAGGAAAAATTTGAAGAAACAAATGAAGGAAACTTAAGTTGCCTGAGGAAGATATGGAAACTGATGTGACCAAAGACACAAATCATTGAGACAAAGTCACCGAGTTCCGACAAAAACTTCTCCTCAATTACACTTTTCACAACCTTTAATAATTCATCTTCAATTATACACACATGCATATCAATTTGCATGGTTATGTCATGGTAGACATTTTATGTATACTTAAAGAGGTACATATAAAAGAGTTTAGTTTAAGGTTGGTCCAAGAAGAAGCAAGACCTCAAAATATCCTTAGTGGATGGAAAGACTAAATGAAAGAATCCTAGGTTATTATTGGTACTTATTGAAGAACAAGTAATTTTGAACACACACATGTGCATAATAAACATACCAAATTTATCAGGTTTGGGCGTTTGGGTATTCATTCGGGTTATGATATTTCCGGTTTAGAAATATAGAACACATTCGGTATTCGTAGATTTCACATTTCAGGTTTGGATTCAGATCGCACTTTTCGGATCGAGTTCAGCTTTTTTGTTAAACATCAACAAATCATGTATTATATCATAAGAGTTTATAAGATTTATAACCATTCAAATCCAACCATTGAAACAAATAAAGAAAATTGAAACACGATTTTGATGAAGAAGTGGAAGTGACCTTGTTTTCCAAACGGGGTAAAGGATATTTAATGGGCCTTGGGCCTAGATTAAGCAAAGGGGTAAAGGATGAAGCATCTGGTCATTGTTTAATGGCTTAGTCAGAAACACGCGCTTCTTCCCCATCACTAAAACTTGTTCAACGCTCAAGCGATTCTAAAAACTCACCTGTTTCGCCAATTTTTCCTCAGTGATCTCTGAAATGGTCATTTCTTCTTTCTTTTGGGTCAAATCTCATCTAAATTTCATTGCTTCCATTGATGGGTAATCGAAAGACTGAAGATTTGATGCGGTAAGATGAGAAAGTTTTAGTCTTTGACCATTTTAGGTAGATTCCTCTGTCTCTTTGTGTAATTTTGAGTTGATCGGTGAAATGGATAATCAAAAAGGTGCTCTCTTTCCCGATGAGGTTATTCTTCAGATTCTGGCGAGGTTACCTGTGAAATCTCTCTTTAGGTTCAAATCCGTTTGCAAATCTTGGTACAGATTAACCTCTGACAAGTACTTTACTACCTTGTTCAATCAAGTGTCTGTGAAAGATCAATTGCTTGTGGCTGAAGTCTCAGATTCGTCTAGTTTGATCTGTGTTGATAATCTGAGAGGTGTTTCTGAGTTATCATTGGGTTTTCTTAGAGATAGGGTGAGGATTAGGGTTTCTTGTAATGGTTTGTTGTGTTGTTCCAGCATCCCTGAAAAGGGTGTTTACTATGTTTGTAATCCTTTGACTAGAGAGTATAGGAAATTGCCTAGGAGTCGAGAAAGACCTGTTACTCGGTTTTATCCTGATGGCGAGGCGACTCTTGTTGGCTTGGCTTGTGATTTGAATAGGAATAAGTTTAATGTGGTATTGGCTGGTTACCATAGGTTTTTTGGTCAGAGACCTGATGGTAGTTTCATTTGCTTGGTGTTTGATTCTGAGACCAACAAATGGAGGAAGTTTGTTTCGGCGATAGAAGAGTGTAGTTTCACACACATGAGCAAGAACCAAGTGGTGTTTGTTAATGGGATGCTTCATTGGTTGATGAGTGGTTTGTGTTATATACTTGTACTTGATATTGAACATGATGTGTGGAGAAAGATTTCGTTACCTGATGAGATAAGATGCGGGAATGGTGGTAACCGGGTGTATCTCTTGGAATCCGATGGGTTTTTGTCGGTGATTCAACTATCAGATGGGTGGATGAAGATCTGGAAGATGATAGAGTACGAGACTGAAACTTGGAGTGTTGTTGATAACATAAGTTTGAGGTGTATTAAAGGATTGGTACCTGGAATCTTCCCTATATGTCAGACCGGTGAGTATGTTTTCTTGGCTACTCATAAACAGGTTTTGGTGTATCAAAGGCGAAGTAAGTTGTGGAAAGAGATGTTTTCTTTAAAAGGAAGCTCTTCTTTGCCTTTGTGGTTCTCAGCTCACTCCTTTCGCAGCACCATTGTACCTTGTAATTAAGATGTTCATGTTGTTGCCTTTTCTCTACATATTTTTTTTCTATTTATTTTCAGCTCTTGGATCAAACCAAATTAATTTGCTTATGAAAGTTTGCTTATATTTGTTATTTGGTTCTAATTTATCTATGGTTTATTTAAATTCTAAATTCTAAACATTAAACCCTACCCCCTAAATACTATACCCTAAATTGCAAATAATCAACCCAAACCAAAGATTGAAAATTTCATACCATTAAACAATAATTTGATTTTAGTGGTATTTTTGGAAAAAAAACCAAAATGATGGTATTTTGAGGAATTCCTCTAAACTAAATTCAAACCAAATTAATTTATTTTCTCTTATATACATCTTTTATATTGTTCTGTCTATTGGTTTAGTCAATGAGATTTGAAACTAGCTAAAAAATAATACAATTTTTGTTTGTTTTTAAATAATATCATTTAATATACATAAACACATTTCAGCGAATAGAAAAACAATCTGTATAATATAAATTATTATCATCAATAAAAATATAATTAATTTTGCATAGATTTATGAAAAAAATCAAAAGATCATCTATTAGAAAACGGATGGAGTAATCAAATTGCGATTAATAGATGAATTCGATTAAAAAATATATATATTAAGGATAACATTAAAGAATTAATATGCAGTTGATTTCTTATGTTTTTCTTTTTAATCTTGTTGAATTTTTGTTGAACCTTTGTTGGCTTCTCATTAAGATCATGCATCATGCATCATGCATCATGACCATGAACGTCTTCAAACACCGACAAAGGCAATGACTTAGACAATAAACCGACCTGTGTCTTAAACGTAATCAAACTAGTAGACCGGTTCACATGAATCTCACCGAGCGAGATCCAGACCACGAAATCTTTAGCCTTAACCCCAGTGAGTTTCTTGATTTTGTTCGGCTCCAAAAACGCAGTGACTTCATCTTCGAAACATACAACAACGTTATCGAATCTAAACAAGTCTTGACCATCATCATCATATCTCCTTTTCTTCTGATCTTCTTTATTCTTCTTCTTGTTCTTGTGCTTTAGCCACACGAAACCCGTGTCCTTCACGTAACCACATTCCTCGATCTCCTTGTTACTAAGGAGCCAGTTTGGTACACCGATTTCGGATAGAAGCGAACCGAACTTCTCTCTGCATGTCTTGTCTCCATGGTACACCTCTGCCTTGGCTTTCATGGCTTCTGTCACCATTGAAATCTCTCTTTTGTGTTTGGACAAGAGTAGTTAAGAATGTTTTTGAGGCAATTAGGTTTTTGAAGTTGTCTTTTTAACCTTTTAATATGTGTTTTATACATATGTGCAAGTTTGAGTAGATCCCTCAATGTCTTTTTCTTTGCAAATTGAAACTCCTTTTTTTTTCTCTTAGCTATATATATTTATTTATATATGTAATACCATACCCAAACTCCAAAAGTATATCCTTTTTTTGTGTGTCAAGAGTCAAGACTAGTTTGTTTTTCTTAATTGCACGTAAGTGAGTTACAATGCTAAGATATTCATTATGATATATTTTGTTTTTTTCTCCCAAGTAAGTTATAGAACAAATTGGATTAGAATTGACGTACATTACCATCCACAATATTTTAAGAATACGAAACCGGATTACCCAAAAACAAAAATAAAACTAAAGCTTAAAACTGAATTAAATAAAGAAATCCAAAAAATATATTAAAAATGCTAGAAAATATTGCAAATAAAAATTAGGTAAAAGACATTCATTTGAAAACTAAAGCTATTAAATTATAGACGGGGCAAAATTCAATAATCCAAATTCCAAACAATCAAATCAACCTACTAGTCATATTATGATGCAATGCTAGGATAACCATATAATTAGCTCACTTATATTAAACAACAAATGATAGCTTTGATAAATGCTGGTGCCAGAAACTATTATTCTAAATTGAACCAAAGTAATGAGGATTTAGGGGAATTTGGGTTAGGCTTTCAGAGTTGATCAAAATTATGCAAAGAATAAGAAATGAAACAGATTATTTTGACATCAAATATAGTTACAAATAAGACTCTGCTGGTTTAAATTGATGTCAATCTCTAGGTATCAATACACTCTACATATTCGAAGTTCGCGTATATATATTGCTCATTTTCGTCGTTCTCCTTAGCTATTTCCGGCAGAAACCTAAGTTTCCTTGTTTTTCTTACTAGTTTGACGAAATTTCATCGCCACTGAGACATGTGACGTTCTTCTCGCATCCAATTATTGGCGGCTGGCCATAACTTCAATCTTTCAGCCCATTACCACATTTGATTTTGGATCCGTTAACAAATTTAGTTAACGAGTTTTAGGTCGCTGAAACCCATATCAACGAAGATATTTTGTTATTAAAAAATATGTAAAATAATAGTCAACGCTATCTATAGAATGTAATTTAACACTAAATTTCATTCCATGTAATTTCATAGCAAGTGATTTCATTAACTTAAAATGATTTTGACCTTTGAAATATATTTTTTCCAATGTATAGACCAAAAAAAAAAAAAACTGAATACTATCATTCAACAGCTCATCTTAAAACAGTGACACCGCCGGTCTAAACCTCTCCGTTTCTCTGATCGTTTCTTCTCCAAATCATTCGGCAAAAATTTGAAAGTTTGTTTCTTTCTTCCTTACTCTTTCTCTTAATTCAATCAACTCACACCAAACCCACACATAAATCCCAATTTTGGTTTCATCGATTTCGAGAGCACCCAAACAAAATTTGATCCTTTTAGCCTTTAGGGCACACTTGTTGTTGGGGCTTCTTCTTCTTCTTCTTCGACCATTGACTTTTCTCTCCTCTCAGGGAATCTCCTTATGCCCTTCGCTACACCACTCGTTTGGAATCTCAGTTTCAGGTACTCCTCTTCTGTGCAATTCGATTTCAGGGCATGTGTTTTCGGTTAATTTCCTCAAGAAAACTATGAAATTCAAAAGCTTTTACTAATGGGTTTGATCTCAATTACTATAAAATCTTGTTCAATTTCGTCTTTTGATTCAAAGGTTTGAACTTTGTTTTGTTGCATCATCGATTTGATCACTTTCTTGTTTGTGTTTGGGATACTCTGAGTTACTTATATGGGTTAGTTCTTCTTCTCCAGTAGCAGGGGATGTTAGAGAAAGTTGCTTTGAGTGGTAGAAGTTGATTGTGGTGGTTACAGACGTTTGGTTTGAAATTGGTAATGGCTCGTAAAGGTAGTCATCAGAAGAATGGAATGGATAATCAAACGAAGCAAAGAAAGAAAGCTTCTGATTCTTTGCTGTCTACAAAGGGGCAAGGGAAAACTAGTGAGGCTGAGAGCGTTCTTAAAGATAATTGCCCGGATGATAAGCAGGCAAGAAGTAGTCCTTCTGATGCTTTCGAAAAAGATTTGGATGCTGTAAAAGCGGCTGCTTCCCTCAAGGATATAGATCAGTCTGTTGCTTCGGAGAACGATTTAGTTGGAGAGAGACCTCGGAATGAATCAGGGTTTACCACTGAGGAAACGAGATATATTCCCTTTGGGCGTGAACACATCGACAGTGTTATGAGAAGTTTGCTGGATATCTTGAGCACAAACAGCCCGTCAGAGAATATTGAGCTAGCATACAATGCAGTACTCAGGAAAATGAGGATATCCACTGCTACTGTATCAAGGGAATTGACTAAGTGTATGGAAAGACACAGGCCTTTGATTGATTCTGTCAAATCACGAGTATATAAAGCCCGTGATCTTGTTATAACAAAAATCCGGCAAGTACTCCCGGTTGTTTTCAGGTGGCTTATGCATTTTGGCAGCATAGTTCTTCTTCTATCTCTGCTTTGGTTGGACTGTGCAATCCGGGGTTTTGATTCTTTCGTTCGGATGGGAACAGGATCCTTTTTCTCTGTCATGTGGTGTGGTCTCTTTTCAGCGTTTTCAATGATCGGCATGACCAAATTTATACTGATTTCAGTAAGAATCTCAACTATGATTTCTTATATGTTTACTCTTTAATCATATGTAAAATATTTGAGAAATACAGGTTGCAACTTTTCTGGTGGCGTTGTTCATTGGATTTGTTGTTGCCTCTGCTACCCTTGCCATTTCTGGTTTGGTTTTACTATGGCTCTATGGTAGCTTTTGGACGACACTGCTCTTCCTCTTTTTCGGAGGTAAATTCCTTCCTATCTCTATGGTAGCTTTTGGACGACCATTCTTTCTTGCATTATTAAGCTAATAAACTGTGCAATGTTCCTTGATGTAAAGGTCTGGCATTCATGATGAAGCACGAGCGTATTGCACTGTTTATCATCACAGTGTATTCAGTCTATAGTGCATGGAGTTATGTTGGATGGCTAGGTCTTCTTTTGGCTTTTAATCTTGCTTTCATCTCAACCGATGCTCTCATATATTTCTTCAAGAATAAATTAAATCAGCAGAGCACCGCTGGTGGACCTACCGAGCCCGTAAATGATTCATCTTTTGAAAACCGCCCTGGCTTTCCGGGAGATCGTGGCCCAGGAGTCGCGTCAACTAGCGGAACAGACTCTGAGTTAACATCTGAAGATGAAGTTTCTCGGTTGCTGAGTTGTGCGGACCACTACTCAGCTTTGGGCTTAGCTCGATATGGGAATATTGACACAACCTATCTCAAACGAGAATATAAGAAAAAGGTAATGCTGTTTGTTTATTTCTCTCTTTGAAATGAATATTTGCTGGATACTTTAAAGCAACAAAAACGTATGAGGAGTTTATAAGCATTGTGAATGATTTAATAGGCGATGCTGGTCCATCCTGATAAAAATATGGGGAATGAGAGAGCAGCTGAAGCTTTTAAGAAACTTCAGAATGCATATGAGGTAACCTTTTTTTTTCTTTTACATTTCATCAATTTGTAGTCACTGCATCAAGGATCCGCATCTCTGATTTCCCTAGCTGGCCTTTAGGTATTACTTGATTCTGTAAAGCAAAAATCTTATGATGATGACTTAAAGAGGGAAGAACTAATGAACTACTTTCGAAGGTTTAAGAATTCTTCTCAAAAGGTATGTTTGTAGTTTTCAGGCTGTTATTTCATCCTCTGAAATACATCTTTGTTGCTCAGTGTCAGTTCTTTCCTTCCTTCATATATTTTCTTTTGGCTTAGCTCTATATGGCAATGTTGTAAACACGGAAGCATGTTTCTCTCTTTGCTTAATTCCTCAATAAATTTTCTTTTGTGCCCTCTGCCGGGATATTTGTCTTCATTTTAAGCTGCTAACGTAATTCATCACTAAGAACCAGGAAAGTCGAGGGCACGGTTTCTCTGGCTCGGGTTTTGGAAGCTCAGAAGGTGAAGGAGAGGAAGCATTTAGAGAGTGTAGACAAATAGCATGTAAAAAATGTGGCAATCTCCATGCCTGGTTTCTTACAAAAAAATCAAAATCTACAGCAAGATGGTGCCAGGTTTCTTCCAACTCTTTCCATCCACATTGTTAAGATCCTCTATGTTAAACCAATGATGAAACTTCTTGAGAGGAAGTATAATCCATAGTACTTAACCAACTTACGCGAGCTCGGCTTTTCTATCTCTAGGATTGCAAGGAATTCCATCAAGCAAAAGATGGAGATGGTTGGGTTGAGCAATCTGCTCAGCACATAATGTTCGGACTATTTCAAAAGGTATAGTTTTATACTCAAAAAAATTCATTTCATGGGGACATAATGTATATAGATGGTTGATCCTCAAGAAGACAATTTGTACAATCAGACGGCTTGGTTGATATGTTTCTCATAGTCATGTGAAAGGGTTTGTTGTTGTAACGCAGGTTGATATGCCGCGTGCTTACGTTTGTGCAGACAGCAAAATATATGAAGCTTCTCAGTGGTATATATGTCAGGTACTAAGAACCAGTTGCTTGATTTTGGTATTTTCATAAAAGATTGCTTGGTTTTGGTTTGTTGGAAGGATTAAATGTTTCTTTTGGATTGTTGGAAGGGAATGAGATGTCCAGCAAACACCCACAAGCCGAGCTTCCATGTGAACATGAACGCGACAGCTTCAAAACGAGGTACAAGTGGTTCTTCAGGGCAAAGAGGAAACCAGAGAATGCCAAACACAAACCCGGATGAAACAATGACAGAGGATGAGTTCTACGAGTGGTTGCAGAACGCCGTGCAAGCTGGTATGTTTGATAATGCAAGCGAAAGCCCGTCTTCAGCAACTGCCACAAGCACTAGTAGTAGTAGCAGCAAGAAAAAGGGAAAGAAGCAATGGTGAGAAACGCTGTGCTAGTAGTGTGTTCGACTATATTAACATGGTGAAAAGTTTTGTACCTTTTCGTTATTAAGATATTAAACTTTGACTTTCTGATAACTTTGATTCATACAGAGCAAACAGCTCTCGAAAAGAAGCCTTTCTGATAGATTTCTTCAGTTTCGTTTTTGTTCAACGGAAAAAAAACTCAAAATCAAAATCCCCAAACAAACTTTTGAATAAACTTGAAAACAAAAGTTTGTTACTCTCATTACCTCTCTATATTATATACTAGGTTTTAATCCGCGGTACACCGCAGGATAATTACTTTTTAAAAAACACAGCTTAGATATTTATTTTGATTGTTAACCCGCGATACATTGCACGATTATGTTTTTCATGTTTTATATAATTTACTAAAATATAATATTTGATAAAATATAAAATTTAAAACTATTTTTTTTAGCTTTGTTGAATAATATAAAGATATAGCTAATTTTATTAACTCGGTATATTTACAATTAATTACTTTTATTTGGAATTTAATCAATCAAAATTAGTTGTTGTGAAAAGAATCTATCGGTCATTACATATAATCATCGTTCATTATAGTTTATATATAACTAGCAGTTGACCCGCGCTGCGCGCGGGAAGTTTATAATTTTTTTGTTAATTCTTTTTATTCATATTGTGATATTTTATTTATTTTTAATTGATTTTTATAACATATTTATAGTTATTTTCTCTTGAATTATTATCTTTCAGTATTTAAATTTGGATTAAAAGCATTTTCTTTTTTATCATGTTATAAACTAATATTTCACTTTCAATTTTATTTTCCCCTTTAAAATTTTATATATACAATTACATAAATTTTGTTTTTATTCTACCACAAATTTTAAATTTACTTACATTCTTAAACTCAGTAACACATTTAAAATTTTAAACTATGATCAATTTAAAATGAAAGTTGAATTATATTATTACCACTAACTAATAAAAAATGAAAGTATTTCTTATTTAACATTTTATTTATTTACATAAATTATTTTTATTTATATAAATTTTATGTTAGTTAAATAAGTAGCATAAATATGCACTAAATGAATGTTTTAAATTTATTTTAATGTAAAAAAAATGTGGCTTAGGTGGATGCTTAGGTGGCATCATGAGAAGAGAGAAAAAGCTAACTTTATATATATAGATTATGGATATTTAAAATTTATCCTCATGTTGCACTTAGGAAAAATATCTTCAAAAGTTTGACCAATGGAAAAAGATGAAAGAAGGCCTTTGAGCGGCAGGAAAAAAAAACACTCTTCTTTCTTATAAAACCCTAGCCGCCCTTTGTAGATCTGAGGGAGAGGTGGAGTGTCTTCTCTGGTTTGGTTTCCTCCGGTGAGTTCTGCCCTCTCCCTCCCTCCCTCCCCCCTTTTCAAGTTCTCTGCTCTTCATTGTCCACAAGATGAGTTTTTTGGTCCGGCGGTGGGTGTTGGCCTTGTTTCTCCAGTTGTGTAGTGGAGTGGTAGATTTACCCTAGATGCTCTCCATAGTCGAGACTGGTGCTAAGAGCCGCCTTGCCGTTTTGCCGCTGTTGAAAATTCAGTGGTTAGGTTAAGGTGGCTTAACTCACGCTATCAGTTTCAGAATTGCGGAGAGTGGCAAAAGTCGAAAGGCGGATAGGAGGCTTTACACCTGTGTTGGAAAGATTAACGACTGGGTCTATTTAGATCTGTGTTGGCTGGCTCGGAATTTGATAGCGATTATGGTCTTGTTCGATTCGCCTGGATTGAAGCATGTGCTGGCTAGAAAAACTGTTCGGTCTGCTGGCGTAGGAGGTGAGGGGATAGAGTCGAGGCCTCTTGTTGCTAGGTCGAGACAAGATGGTGGTGGGCTCTGCTTGTCTTCGATTTGGTCCAGCTCGGAAAGGGTGCTGCAAGTAAGATCCGACGGTGGTAATAGGGTTTTCGGTTCGGATATGTTAGACCATCCTCAATGCAAGCATTTCAAGGGGTATATTACCCTAAGATTTGCAAAGAGAGAATCTTATATAAAGTATTCTCTTCACAAATCTTAGGAAAATATACCCCTTAAGATGCTTGCATTGAGGATGCCCTTAGCTCCAACTGAAAAACTGGAGCCGCCGTAGGGGAAGCAAAACAGTGCCTTTTGCTAACGCCAAAATTCCTAGACGGGAATCGATGCTTCTGGTAGTCAAACCAGGCTCCGATCCACATCTTTAGCTAATAGTTTCGTATGTTTTTCCTTGTAAGCCACTGGGCCTTAGCCCATCTTGTACTACCCATTAAAAGGATTAATAAAATAGAACTTGCAACAACAACACAAAAATTATATCTTCAAGATTTTGCCTGTAACTTTCATAACAATATTAAAATCCTAATTAGGAAATATATTGTACTTTTATTTATTTGCATTAATTTACTAAAATTGGATAAGATGATAAATATATATATATATATATATATTAAAGAAAGTTTTTAATAAAATTAAACATGTGTGTTTTGAGTCAACACTAAAATTGACAAACAAATGAATTAGTATGTACCAAAATGAATTAGTATGTACCAAAATCTATGAAATCTTTGAAAAAAAAATGAAAAAAAATTGAAATTTGCAAAGCATCTATGAATTTTTTAATGTTTTTTTTTTGGTCGGCCATTTCATTTTTTATTAAAATGAAAAACCCAAATGGGTATTACAGATAGTGAAACAAAAGCCCAAATTCCTTCAACGTTTACAACTTCAATTGAATATAACCCTATTTATCCTACCTAATTAAGATAAGGATAAAAGATCAAAGTGCCACGATCTTGTTACGCCGGAGTGTTTGAAGTTCGTTTCAGCCAGTCGTCGGGTTTGTTTTGGTGTAAGAAGACTTGGGAGAGTTTGAGTATGGAGTTTGCGCTTGACAAAGCTTTGAAGGAGATGTCTTTGGATGAAGAGGAACCGATTGTGTTGAGAAACTTACCACAGTTCAGTTCGTGTGAACGGAATGAACAAAGTATCATCGGCCGTCTTCTGTGCCCGGAAAACCAGAAGATGTCGAGTGTGATTCATGAGATGCCTCGGATTTGGCGGGTGTATAACAGGGCAAGGGGTATTGCACTTCCGAATGATAGGTTCCAGTTCATCTTTGATTCGGAGAGAGAGATGCTCACAATTCTGGAAGCTGGAGCTTGGACGTTTAATGATTGGAGCATGACTTTGGAGAGATGGGTGGAAAAGCCACCAGCAGATTATCTTAAAGTGTTACCGGTTTGGATTCGCTTAAGAAATATCCCGGTGAACCACATGACAAAAGATACAATACAAGAGATTGCCGAGCATATTGGAACAGTTACTGATGTGGCTTTCGACCCTTTGAAACCTCTAAGTAAGGGTTACGTGAGAGCTAGGGTTTTACTGGATGTAAGTCGACCATTAAGGAATAACAGGATACTTCAAACTCCAACGGGTGAAACGGTGACCATCAACATTGAGTATGAGAGGATTAGGCGACGGTGCTACCAATGTCAACGTATCACACATGATAAAGAGCGCTGTCCATTTAACCCCTTAAACCGGCAAGTGATTGCTACGGGTGGGGTTAAATCTTCTACTGTCATTCCATCGCGACTCATCCCTCAGATCAGTAAAGATGATCCGTTGTTTGGAGTTCTAACCAATGATGATGTAGGGATCGACTTTGCTACTGGTAAACCAAAAATTGCTAAAGAAGTTCTTGACGAGATGCGACAATATCTATCAGTCGCAGATCCGGAAGTGAAGAAGATTCACATTGCTAGGGTACGAAAATCAGTGTGGGATCTAGAAGGGGATTTACAAGGACAAAAAACATTTCTAAGGTTGGAAGCTCCTACAAAATTCACAACGGATGTCGACCAAGGAAAGGGGTTAGTGTTTGACTTTGAAGGAATAGGGACGAGTACTGATGGTGGAGGTGAACACGTTGTCTCGGCTGTAGCTCAAGGAAAGGCAATGACGCGGCTTTCGCAACCGTTGCAATCCAGGTCGGCTACTTATGCAACAGCTTCGCAACAGGAGCTTGATTCTACGGGTTTCAAGGCCAGTTTCTCGGCCGGTTCATCCGGAATCAAGCCCTCTAGAGGGAAACAGCGGAGACGACCTAGCCAATGGAAGAGGAAAGCTCAGGCCCTAAAACCTGGTGGTGGCCCAAAGCAAGCAGTACATGCTGAAGAGAGTATGAAAGAAGGTACTTACAAGAGAAAGGCTACTCATGAGAATGTGTGGATAGCTAAAGTTGCAAAACAAAATGACAGTGCGGTGGTTCCGGTTGAGGAACCGCTGCAACATTAATGAGCTTCATGAGTTGGAATTGTCAAGGTTTGGGGGGCAACTTGACAATTCCTATTTTGAGGGAAATGAGACGTCAACATTTCCCGGATTTTTTGTTCCTCCTGGAGACTAAAAACTCTAGTAGTGTGGTAAGAAATCTGCAACGTTCTCTTGGTTATGATAAATCTCACATTGTTGATCCAGTGGGGTTGAGTGGAGGACTTGCATTATTTTGGAAGACATCTTATGAAGTTGAAGTTTTAAGTACAAGTACAAGAATTATTGATGTAAAAGTCAAGCTTGGATCTCTTTGTTTCTTTATATCATGCGTGTATGGAGACCCGGTTCCACATTTACGTCAAGCTGTTTGGAATACATTAATTGACATTGGAGTTTCCAGAGATGATCCATGGTTAGTACTTGGTGATTTAAATGAGATTATAAATAACTCTGAAAAGCTTGGTGGGCCGTCACGGGCGGAATCATCTTTCTTTCCGTTTAGGAACATGATAAATGATTGCCGTCTACGGGAGGTCCCAAGCATTGGTAATAAATTCTCATGGGCTGGAGAACGCAACAAGTTATGGATACAATGCCGCTTGGATAGGGCTTTAGGGAATGAGGCTTGGTTTCAACTATTTCCACGAGCACAAACAGAGTATTTGGAGCGTATAGGCTCTGATCATAGACCACTACTAACCCGGTTTGTAAATGAGAATATGTCTCGCCGTGGACGTTTTCTTTTTAACAAACGCTGGATCTCCAAAACCGGTTTTGGAGAGGTGATTCGTGATGGTTGGTCTAGAGGAAATGCTGTTGGTCAAACATCATTAATGCAAAGGATTGCTAATTGTAGAAGATCGATTTCTACATGGAAGAAGGAAACAAACCAAAACTCTAAAACACGTTTAACAGAGCTTCGGGATGCAATGGAGATTGAAAGTTCAAAACTGCAACCGGATTTTTCTGTCTTAAAGAAGTTACGTTGGGAGTTATCTAAAGCTTACCAAGAGGAGGAGTTGTTTTGGAAGCAACAAAGCAAGGAACGCTGGTTAAGAGAGGGTGATTGCAATACCAAATTCTTCCATGGTAGTGTTCAACAGAGACGAGTTCAGAACAGAGTTTTATCACTTTTTGATGCGAATGGAATCGAACACTTCTCTGAAGCTTCAAAAGGAGAGGTAGCTGTGGAATATTTCCGGAACTTATTTTCTAGCTCTCAACCGTCATCAGTTCCAGAAGCTTTAGAAGGAATGATCCCGCGTGTTACTCAACAGATGAATTTGGAACTTATAAAACCAGTTTTGGGGGAAGAGATAAGGCTTGCTGCATTAAGTATCAAAGGCGAGAGTACTCCAGGGGCGGATGGTATGTCGGGGCATTTCTATCATAAATATTGGGACATCATTGGACCTCAAGTCATTGAGGAAGTGCAGCAATTTTTTCAATCCGGCAATCTACCCTCGGAATGGAACTTTACACAGTTATGCTTACTCCCGAAGAAGCCTAACCCCTCTCATATGACTGATCTTCGTCCAATCAGTCTATGTTCTGTGGTGTATAAAATCGTTTCAAAGGTTCTTTGTAATAGATTGAAGGTCTATTTACCAGAGATTGTATCGAATACACAAGGAGCTTTTGTATCCGGGAGGTTAATTTCGGACAATATTCTTTTGGCTCATGAAATGGTGCATGCGCTAAAGACGAATCCAAAATGTAATGAAGACTTCATGGCCATTAAGACGGATATGTCGAAAGCATATGACCGAGTTGAATGGGACTTTCTCGAAGAGCTATTAATACGGCTAGGATTTAACATTATTTGGGTGAAATGGGTAATGAGCTGCGTGCGATCTGTTTCCTTTTCCGTTTTAATTAACGGCTGCTCTTACGGTTTTTTCAAACCTGAAAGAGGCATTCGTCAAGGTGACCCACTATCGCCATTTCTTTTTATTTTGTGCGCTGAGGCATTAGTTCACATCATGAATCGAGCTGAAGTTACGGGTCGTCTAACGGGGATGAGGTTATCTAATGATTGCCCTTCGGTACAACATCTTCTCTTTGCGGACGACAGTTTATTTCTTTGCCGTGCTACGTTGTCAGAATGTTCGGAGTTTCTTTAGTGTTTACAGCTTTATGGGAGAGCTTCGGGACAAGAAATAAATTTTCAGAAATCATCAATAAGTTTTGGGCAGAAGATTGATCCAATTATGAAACGGTTAATTAGCTGCTTTTCTGGTATTTTTCAAGAAGGTGGGGCTGGAAAATACTTGGGGCTACCCGAATGTTTCAGTGGTTCAAAAACAGAGATACTAAGTTACATCACTGAGCGTCTGAAGGCTAGACTCAGTGGTTGGTATGAGAAGACCCTTTCTTTAGGAGGTAAAGAGGTGTTGTTAAAATCTGTCGCTATGTCTCTCCCGGTATATGCAATGTCCTGTTTTAGGTGAACTAAACACCAATGTCAGAAAATCAATAGTGCTATGTCAAGCTTTTGGTGGAATGCAACTGAGGACAAGCATAAGATGCATTGGGTCTCGTGGGAGAAGCTATGTCAATCTAAAAAACGAGGAAGCCTTGGCTTCCGGGACATTGGACAGTTTAATCAAGCACTATTGGCTAAACAAGCTTGGCGTTTGCTTCACTATCCGGATTCACTGTTGTCAAGAGTGTATAAGGCCAAATATTTTGCAGATAAAGGTTTTCTTGAAGCTAAACTGGGCTATAGACCGTCCTATGCTTGGCGTAGCATCATGTTTGGAAGAGAATTGTTGGAAAAGGGTCTAATGAAGTCCATTGGTAATGGAGTCTCTACATCGGTCTGGCTGGATAAATGGGTTTATGATGACAAACCAAGGCGACCGTTCAACAAAGAATCGAGAATGGATATCAATATGAAAGTTGCAGCGCTGATAACACCACAGGGTGAATGGGATCTCCACCTCTTAAATGAGCTCTTTCTACCTTGTGATATCATAAGCATATGTTCATTTCCACCGAAAGTTGATTTGAGTGACAGTGTAGTTTGGGCGTACACATCAAATGGTAGTTACGCTGTTAAAAGTGGCTATTGGTTACTTTCTCACTCGGGAGACCTGCTAGAATCAGTCTCGCAAGACAAGCAACAGCTGAACCGCCTCAAAGAAAAAGTGTGGGCTTTGCGAACAGCCCCAAAAATAAAATTGTTCCTGTGGCGAGTCCTCTCAGGTGCTGTAGCGGTTGGAGAGTGTTTGAGGAGACACGGAATTGGTGTAAACACTCTGTGTAAAGTTTGCACGAGGGATGAGGAGACTATATCTCACGTTCTCTTTAAGTGTCTCTATGCTTTTCAGGTTTGGGGTGTGAGTGGTCTACCTATACCTACACAAGGTTTTTCAATGTCGGTTCCAGAGAATATGGAGTACATGCTTTCGTTAATGGAGAAAACAGAGATAGCCTCGCATATGCGAGCAGCGATACCATGGCTACTTTGGGAGATTTGGAAAGCTAGAAACGGGTTAGTGTTCTCACAACAAGCTATAAACCCCCATATCGTGTTGGTCACGGCATTAAGAGACATGGAGGAATGGTGTCAACAACAAGAAAACCATGAGAATGAGTTCCGGGCTGGTGGTCGAGTACTCTTGGCAACCGGAAAACTGTGGATTCATCCGCCGTATGGGATGCTCAAATGCAATATTCATTCATCTTGGATAAATGAATCTTCTTTTAGTGGTGGAGCTTGGGTCTTGCGTAATCATGAAGGAGATGTTTTGCTTCATGCGAGAGATGCTTTTCGGCCTTGTTATAATCGTATTGCATCGGAGCTGAAATGTGTCCTATGGAGCTTATCTAGTTTACATGATCTGCACTATGACATTTGCGAAGTTTGGTTGGACTGTAAGGCAGCTTGGGAAGCTATCACAAATCCAGTTTCTTGGCCTAAATATCGGGCATCGTTATCTAAGATCGGGCAAGTAATACGGGTGATGCGGAAGGTTTCTTTTCACCTTTCTTCACCGAAAGCTAATTTATTGGCTAGGGAGATTGCTTGCAGCGTTACACGGGATGGTCGACTAACTTCGTATCTAGCGCTTGGTGGTCCGTCGTGGCTTCATGACCGGATTGAAAGGGACAAACGTCGTGGAGTTTAATTCTTGGTTTCTTTTCCTTTACGATTTTGGTTTCCATCTTATGGCTTATGGTTTTGTTATGCACAATCATTTTCTAATAATATTGAATCATTCAGCGTTAAAAAAAAAAAAGATCAAAGTGCCACGTATGCACACGTGTCCACACGTGAGAAGAAGGAAAGTTGACACGATCGTCACTGACCATATCCACGATCAGGCACAACACCGTCGCCGGACTTTTGATCCACCACTGGTTGCTCCTTCCACATATTCACCGCTGCTTGTGACAAAATTTTGTTGCTTCCATCTTTAAAATTATAACCATAGATTCTATTGAATCTTTTATCTCAACTCAAAAACTCTTCGAAGAAAGCTCCGCTTCTAGACCTTCAAAGGTCCACTTCATACCAACTAGTGAAGTAGGTTGACGAAGATATTACTCCTTCAGAAGAGAAGAGCCAAGCTGATTGTAAAGCAAACATAATTTGTCAATAACAAACGGGATTCAAATCTCAAGTCATGTAGAAAGAGAAACACAAAATCCAAAACTTAACAAAGTTAAGTATGGAAATTATTTAATTCGACCAAAGATAAGCTAACTTAAGATCGGAAGATAAACAAACAAAAAAACTAATTCGATTACAAATCGGAAGACAAAAAAAGATAGATCTGGCTTTATCTCTCTGAAAAATACGAGAGAGTTTAAAAATAGATCTGGTTTTAATTTTTTAATGTTTATATTCGAATATCTGCAGATTTAATATTGCAAATTTGAAAGTTTATGATTTTCATGACATTTTTTCTCTTTTTAAAATCTGAATACTTGTGTAACGGCCAACGGGGAAAATGAATCTACTAATGGTCAAACAAGGAAGTGATGAACCAAAAGGCCAAAACCCATTTGATTAGTTTAGACTTTAGACTTTAGACCATGAAATCAAATCGTACCAAACCAATCGGTACGAATTCATCATGGTTCCCCTAGAAATAAGAACAAAACCGTAATAAGCTTCTCGCCTTGTTCGTGAAGAAGACTCTGTTTCTCTCTTTCCCTTTCGTAGAAAGACTTATAAGACTTAAGAAGATAATCAAATCATTTTGGCATTCTCCATAATCTGAGATATAAAAAATGGTGGCTCGAAGATTTGTCGTACGCCACGAAGACTCCAGCTTCGATGTCGATTACGACACTGAAGATGGTCTTGAGGTCTCTTCCCTTCTCTCTCCCACTCTCTTCTTCGATTATCTCATATTTACTATTCCGCCATTGATCTGACAGGTTTTGCGATTTCAAATTTTCTCCCTCACTTTGGTTCCTCCTGAAGAACAAAAGGTTACTTTTTTCTTCTTCTTCATCTTCATCTGCGATTTTGTAATGGAATCTTTGATGATGATGTTTGTTATCGAATTGGTTAATAGATCGTTGTGGAAGATGGTGATAGATTGGTATCAGATGAGTCTGATTTAGCTTCTATATCTGAAAGACTTCGATTGGTTTCAATTGGTGGAGGAGGTTCTAATGAGATTTCAGATGCGGAGATGGTGAAATCAGACGAAGAATTGGCTCGAATGTTGCAGGTTTTTTTTTTTTATTACTTGTCGCTTTTTGTGTACTTCATGGGAATTTTTATGAACTGATTTGATGTTGTTTTGATTTTGGTTTACAGGCAGAAGAAGATGCGATGATGTTGCAGCAGTTTGTTGCTGCTCGAGATGGCGGTGGATTCGAGGGGAGAGTTAGGCCTTATGTCAGCCAAGTTCTCATGGTTATAGACTAGATTCTTTATATGATTTGAAGTTTTTGTGTTATTGATTTTATGTGTTGATGTATGATTGTAATGTTTGTTTTGTTGTGTTTCAGTATGAAGATCCAGTCCGTCAAGAAGCTGCTCGGAAGACTGTTTCTAAGGATGAGCTCGAAGAGAAAGCATTGGTTTCTTTGGCCAAGGTTTGAGTTTATTATATTCACCCATCAATAGAACTATGCTTGATAGAACTTTAGGATTAAAGGTTTGAGGTTGAGTTTTATGATTCTTATGCGAGATTTTTAACTGATCCAAGCTTCTAAAAAACATTTAGGAGGGGAATTTCGAGCCATCGAAAAATGAAATGGACGATGCTTTCCTGCTTCAGCTACTTTTCTGGTTCAAAAGAACCTTCAGGTTTTTTTCCTTTGTCTTTTAGGACTTCTCACATTGATATGCAAATAATTCAATAGTTAGTTTATAAGTTACATTATTGAGATCCTTGATGGGAGTTCATATCATCTTTTCATTGGATTGTACTGTTATTTGTTCTCTTTAAGCAGCATATTGAGTTTTAAGAATATATATTGACACAGAAGTTTCAAAGAATTTCTTTTTTTAGTTGTTGACTGGGTGATAATGCAGATGGGTCAATGAGCCTCCTTGTGACTTTTGTGGTAACAAAACGATAGGCCAGGGCATGGGAGACCCACTTACCTCAGAGCTTGCTTATGGAGCAAATCGAGTTGAAATCTATCGGTACGTAAACTAGTATGTAGTTCTGTATAGTTTCTTTTGTGCAGGGAATGTGATTTGTGTACCAATTATATTCTGAGCTCAAGCCCTTTACAGGAGAGAATTTTAGGACTTTATAAGCTTAATCACTTGCATTTTATCGAGTGTATTGGATTGAGAGCAAGAATTATTTGATTCTTACAGTATATTTATCTATTTTCTGTTTTTAAACTTTTGACTTAATATTTCACTACAACCTATACAGCTGTACCATGTGTCCAACAATTACTCGTTTCCCTCGGTACAACGATCCGCTAAAGGTAACTAAACAGCTTGTACATTGGAAGATATATGTTCTTGACTTCATTGACGGGTTCTAATTTTCTTCCCTGTTCGTGCAGCTTGTAGAAACAAAGAGAGGTCGTTGCGGAGAGTGGGCAAACTGCTTTACGCTATACTGCCGCTCGTTTGGCTATGATTCTCGTTTGGTATTCTGCTAACTAACATTTTCACTTCCTGCAAAAAATTTGGATTTTCTTTTATTTTTCTAATAATTGTACTCATTTACAGATACTGGACTTCACAGATCATGTCTGGACTGAATGCTTCTCTCACTCCTTGGAGAGGTAAACATCATGTGTCAAACAAATGTGTATCGATTTCCTTTGTAGGATCTTACAACTGTGAAGCAATTTGTGCCATCTTTGTCGTTCTGCAGATGGATCCATCTTGACCCTTGTGAAGGAGTGTATGACAAACCCATGTTATATGAGAAAGGGTAAGGTTTCATGCTTTTTCTTGTCCTACGTTGAACAGTCCCCATAATGTAATGCCATATTCTCACAAAATCTCTGCCTTCTAGATGGAACAAAAAACTGAATTATGTTATTGCCATTTCCAAGGATGGGGTTTGTGATGTTACTAAGCGATATACAAAAAAATGGCATGAGGTAATAAATGCTACATGAAAAAGTGAATGTTCTGTTTGTCTAAGTATCTGGAACAGGATTTCCATTCATCACTCATGGTCTTGCTGTTCTTTTCCACTTTTAGGTTTTATCTAGAAGAACTCTCACAACTGAATCATCTTTGCAAAATGTTCTTCGGACCCTGACTAGGGAACGGCGAAATAGCTTAATACACCAATCTTTATCTAATCTTGAAATCCGAGACAGAAATGAGCAGGCAGAACTCGAGAGAAATCTGCATTCCCCAGATGATGCCTCAGTTTCTTTACCCGGAAGGCAAAGTGGTGACAGGGAATGGCGCATTCAGAGATCAGAGTTTGGTTCAGATGAAAATTCCTCTGTTAGCTCCTCCTCGTGTCCAGTTCGCAAATGCGTTGATGACCATGTGACCAACATTTATGACTCGTTTCTGCCTATCCTGACTCAGTTAATTGAAGACGGCTTACCTGTAGCAAGAGCAATTGAGGTACTTGAGATGATCAAGCAAGTCCTACTTGATCTGAAAAATGGGCCATACAAAACAAGGAAGGCTCGCTTGACTTTAGATTTAGATAGCTCAAGTTCGTCTCTGAAGCAGTTTCTTCCCGCACTGGCCAGTTTGCTTCTTGCTGTTTCTTTAAAGTGCGAGAAAGACACAGACGGTAAAAGTGTCATAATATGCTTGGACGGGAATCCCACAAAAACTGCTTTAGCATTGCCAGTTGCATTGGACGCTTTAAGGGAACTGGTCACTGACCTCAGCAAATGCCAAAATTTGAACAAAGATTCATTGTCTTTTCCATTTGTGAAAAAAAACAGGGTATGCTCTGGTTCTGTCCTCGCCAGTGGTGAAGAGCTTCCTGCTGGCATTGTAAGTTGTACACTACTACAACTCTCCTCTTACCATTAATTAAACTCATTGTGGTTATGCCTAAATAACATGCCTCAATGCCTCAGGCAACTGCAGCATTTGATGGGATCCAAGAGTCCAAATGGGAAGAGCCAAATGGTGCAAAAGGTAATGTAACAAAACCTGTTTCAAAAATCTAATATTTCCTAGTACATGTTCTGATGCGATAGAAACAATCTCTCCTCTTATAGGCTGTTGGATCGTGTACAAAACACTCTACAACCAGATGCACCAACTCATAGCATACGAGCTCATGTCTGCTAACGATGCCCCAGAGAGAGACCCCAAAGATTGGTAATGTCTTTTTCCTATCATTCAAAGTTCTAAACATACACAATCGATGCATCAACACTGTTTGTTGCCTCTCCCAGGATTCTTGAAGGAAGTAACGATGGTGGATCGACATGGAGTGTTTTAGACAAACAAACTTGTCAGGTATTTGAGGAGAGGTTTCAACGCAAATCCTACAAAATAACAACTCATGGATTCCAAGCAAATCTCTTCAGGTATATTACAATTTACAAACCTAATCATAAATGTATTTCGAATTGAGTTTGATTAAGAAAGAGTTGCATTTGAGTTTTCTTTTCCTCTATGGTCATATCTAATATATAGTATGTTGCAGGTTCCGGTTTCTAAGTGTTCGAGACGTGAATTCGACCTCGAGACTACAACTAGGGAGCATCGATCTGTACAGAAGCCACCAGTAATTCAAAAGATGCACACCAAATGTACTTTTGTGTATTATAATTCCAAAAACATCAATTTGTTTTGTCATCACTTTCTGCAAATTGATGTATTCTTGAGGGTATAGGCCTTTGTTGTTTTAATGTACAAGTGAAAGCTATTGTTATGGTAATAACTTATATAACTGGTAACTTCATGAGACCCAATTGGTATGTTTTGCTGTCCACAACAGAATCAATTATAAATCCAAGTAATTATTATAATCGCAAGTTAATAATTTTAATAGAATGTCATTAAGTATATAATTAATAAAAAGTAACGGAAGAGTCATTTATTTTGTATCTTAGCGAGAAGAGGTATCTCTCTGTATCTTCTATCAATGGCGGATTCGCGTGATGATCTAGCTGAATCGCTACAAAACCTCTTCACAAGTGTATCAACCATGGTCAAATCCGAGCTCCAGGTCAACGAACTTTTATTATTACAGATTTTGTCTTTTTTTTTTTGTATCAAATTTTCAAAACAGATCTGAAAATTTTGGAATTGGATTAAACAATTAGGGAACGAACAATCAACTGGATCTATTGGAGAAGATGAATCTGAGAGTCGCGTCGGAGTACGATGATCTAGGTGACGTGGCAGCTGGGCTGAGAGTGTTCGCGGAGCAGATGAAATCGAAAAGTGGTGGCTTTGATGAGTTTGTCGGACAAATCGACGCAATCGAGAAACAAGTGTCGGAGTTCGAAGCTGTGATCTCTGTTCTAGATCGATATGTCTCTGTTCTCGAATCCAAAATTCGAACTGAGTATCGTCATCCTCATCATTCATCGTCATCATCATCATCGCTCTAATGACTCTGTTTGATTACAGATTGATTGATTTCTTTTAATTAGCACCATTGTGTAACAAATACTCATCGTTGAGGTTAAGATAAGAAAAGATTTTTGTCTCCATTAGGTTTAAGTTTTAACAAAGATTGTAGTTAGTTATATGAGATTTCATACACTCAGTATTTGAACCAAACCATCAGTGGACTAGGGATGAGTAAACCGAACAGAATTTTCAATCCATGCCCAAACCGTTGGGTTAAGTTTTTTCTCAAACACAAGTGGTTTGGTTTAGTTTGGTGTCAAACCAAACCACAATATGCCTCTTTTAGCTATTTTCTTAGGATGTTCCATGTCCATTAACTAACAAATGATGAGCATATTTTTGTACTTACTAGTTGTTTTGTATTTGAGCTTTACATATGAAAACAACTAAAATCAAACTGAATTAGGGTTTTTTTTTTGTTCTATTAATTATTAACATAATACAAAAAACCACCTAAAACATAAAATAATTCTGAAATTATATTAGTTTTTTAAACTATACTACCGTATACTAATTTATCGGAAATGATTTTTTTCAGAGAAAGAATCCAATAAATACCAACAAACTCACATGGAAAAAGTAGAAATTTCGTGATTTTGCACACTCGAAAATTTATCGACTTAAATATCAATTTTTTTAGAGATATGTCTAATACAAAACTCCTCCAAACAAGCTAAAAAAAAAAGTAAAATCTCTGAAATCTATGATGTCAATTCTTTAGAAATAAGCTTTTCTAGTCAAAACTTGTGACATATAATTATGCTATCTGTTTCAGAATTAAGCAATTTAACTACCATTATATGTATTGGATAATAGTGGACAATCCAGTTACGGTTTGGTTCCCGGTTCAATTTTTCCGGTTTATATATTACTTTTTTTCTTTGGTAAAAAAAGTTCTGATTGGGTTTAGAGAACTCGAGAGAGATTTACGAATACTCGCCTGATTGCTTTCTCTGTCTCTCAAATTGGCTCATCCTCTCCATTAGTTCATCTCAAGTACCAAACAAGCTGCTTCGATCTTCGTCTCTCTGCCCTCGTTTCTAATTGTAAGTCTTTTTCAACTGCTTTTTCAATGTTTGTGTAGAGATCTCAAAGTAGATCGGAATTGACTTTAAGAGATCGATCAAAACCAGATCAGATTAACCATAGTTGCTCCCACTCTCTTGTGGGAACTTTATGCCTAAGCTATCCTAAAGTCTTCACATTTAGATTCGAATATTAATGATATAATTACTTTTGCGCAACCCAGTTGTGGAATCACTGAATCAAGTATAAAGTCTTAAACTTTTCTGTGAAATTTGCTTAAAAATCAATACTTTTAGGGTTTCTAATCTAGAACAGTAGAACTTGCTTTGTGATTTGAAATCCAATATAAAGATTTAAAATTTGATGTTGTTTCAGATTGTTTCTATCTTAAATGGGTTCTTCTGAGAAGAGATCAAAGGATGTCATGAGTGACATACCAACCTTTAGTGGTGAGAATTTGCAGAACAATTTGAAAGTCATACAGAACAGGTATGATTCAATACACTATTCTCTCTTTTATTTTCCTCGAATAAGATGATCGTTTGTTGTTGTCCTAAGTCCTAACGTGTTCTTGCTTTGCAGCCGGACGTTTCTGTCTATCATCGCTGGTGTCCTTGCTGGAATAATCGGATTCAATGGCTTGACTGGTTTTGTATTTTACTTTGTTGTGATGTTGATCACATCAGTTGGGCTCATGGCTAAGGCAGGATTCTCAGCAGACTTGTACTTTGATTCGTGGAATCGGGTCCTTTTTGACGGCTTTCTTGGTGGCCTTATGGTAGTTCATCATTTCCCTCTTGCATACTTTCTTGCTTCCAGATACAATCCTTAATTTCAACTTCTTATGTGATATATATTATACCTGTTAAGCTCATAATAATTATGGTGTTGTTTACTCTTTGCAGTCGTTTGTGCTATTCTGGACGTATCCTTATTCTCGAGATCTGGTTGTCACACATATTCTGAAATTGTGAAAAAGTAAACTGCAGATTTAGTTAGCTTTATGGAAGAACATCTATGGTATGATTTAGGTTAAATTGATAGCTTCCTAGAAACATGTGGTAACTTCATATAGAGAAAATGGCCTTTTTGGTTTAGTAAACGGTAACTGCATATAGAGAAAAAAGTTTATGTGCACTCGAAAAGAGTTCTCTCTTGTCTCTGTTTATATGAGTAGGTTTCCTTAATGATGGAGTAGATTTGCATATGACTTGGTGCACATATTCTGAGGGAACTTCCGCAGCAAATGAAGATGGTGAAACAACACACAAGAGTAAGTTCGGGATTGCAGCCTCTTCAAGTAACTGGATAGATTGGACAATGTGTCTCTGGTTCCCTTTTTGAACGACAGATTATGAGTTCGTATTTTATTTTTGTTTCAAAGTTACTTGAAATCACATCAGCTGTGAAAACCTTTAGATTCAACAGTTTCAAGTATTTTTTAGACTTACTCCAAGTATACCTAAGGATGCCTACCGAAATATTTTCTCCATATAAAAGTTTAGGACACACTCTCTGTCGAGTTTGAAGCTCTTCTATGGGCAATGCAATGGGGAATTGAATTTCTAATACAGCTTTCGGTATTGGTTGCATGTAGTTAAACTTGTTCCACCGGGTTTGGAACTCTAAAGTTGACCTCTTGGCTAAGCCTTGTTACCCAATCTATTTCGATATCATGTTCTTTCCTATATCAGTGTGGCTTATCTCACCAACTCTACTTGAGTAATAGAAAAAGGATGTTTCATGTGGAAAAGGAAAAAAATAAGATACTTAAACTCTCAAAAGTACTGAACTGTTTACAAAATGAATTCTCAGGATATATCAAAATTTATAGAACCTTAAAACCTTTTCTCTAATTTTCAATCTAGTCATAATGATTTGTGAGCGATGATAAGTCATCATCATCATCGAGCTTTCTGTAAAATCCATCCTGAAGAGTTGGTTTGACAGAGCTCGTGCATCACCTGCGGCAGCAGCACAGAGTCAGAGACTAAAAACTACAACACTTTGGTGAAAACACAGAAAAGTTGAACAGAACTCGAGTGAAACCTTTATGTATTCGTTGTTGGTGATTTCACGTTCAAGCTTGTTCCTCCCTGCTGCAAATACATCAGCCTTCATAAGCTTTGTTCCAGGTGGAGATCCGCGGAAGAGGGAAATCACCACTTCCCTGATGATTAAAAACAGATATTAGAGTTTCCACAGAAACATAAAGAAGAAATGTGATCATGCTCCAACAACAAATAACCTCAAAGGATCATATTCGGGATGGTCTGGAGACGACAAGGAGACAAAAGAGCCGTGAATGTCAACAGCCACTTCACTTATAACATCTTTGAGCTCGTCTTGGTGAGCATCTACAGCTAAAGCCACATTCACTGCCATGCCTGAATCAGCTTTTGGATTATTCGATGTCAAAACTGCAAGATCCCTAAGTCCTTGGCAGATTGTCTCGTACCTGCACACAAATCCGTTTGATATCCAATACTCTGAAATATTCCAAAGTTCAGATAATTGAAAAGTATAGTTCCCAAGAATCTCACCTGCAAACTTTGTGAGTTTGAAACACCTTTTTTAAGGCCTTTGGTAATGCCCCCCGAAGTTCATTTGACATTTCTTGTCTAACAACACGAGGTATCGTATTTCTTGAACTTCCTCCTTTGTCAGAGAGGGTTGTTGGAACCTCTGGTTTAACTGTAACTGATGAATTTTTGCCAACAATATTCCTCCTGTTATCAACTCTGCTTTTTCCTCCTTGGGTGGACATCATTGACTCTAGGTTCTTTTTCCTTTCAGTATGAAAGGAATCTTGCTCCTCAACAATCACCGGGTATGATTTTATGAATGATACATCAGTGGGCTCTTTGAACTTCCAATCGTTTAGTAGAGGCCTTTGTTTGGCAAATGCAGGCAGAATAGCTTTTGCAGTCTCCTTAAGGCGACCCATCGCTTCAATTTCAGAGTACTTTATAGTTGTATTCTTGCTGAACAAACACAGGACATAATCCCTGGAAGCTCCTACCGGCCCGTCTAGTTTTAGTAAACTAGTTTTGGGAGTCCACAAACCTTGAACTAACCAGCCAAATTCTTGGAGGGCCTCTAAGAAATCCTCGTCCGAGAACTCAGAGGCATAATGCTTAAGAACACTGTATCGAAGCAGCGCAGATCCCTGTTATGATAGAATGAGTTAGACAAATGGCTTATATTTTGTCTAAAACTAAAGAGCACGAACCATAGAACTTTCATCTTGAAAAACAGAAAAGAACAGGAAATTGTGAAACATAATGCTGTTCAATAGGTACCAACCTCACAGAGCAACTTTTGCACACGTTCTTTAAGTGGCAGGGAGAGCAAGACCCTGAAGGCAGAAGACTACATCTTAAGGAACATAAGAAAGGGAGCAAAAGTTGACTAGATGACACATGAGACCAGACATTGGTAAAGTACAGCGAATTTATTTTTGATGAATAGATGAAAGATATTAACTAGACGACCCTGATATATCATACCTTTTCATCGTTTCTTTCGATTCAGTGTTTCTGTTGCTTCCTCCATGGCACAGTTCATTGATATAAACGTCCCTTCAAGAAAATACAAGTGGATATTGAGAAAAAGAAAAAAGTTTAAGGTAAGCAGGAAAACCCCAAATTCTCTCAGGCGAACTCAGTGAAAAGGAAGACATCATACAGGCTCATATTGAAATCTAACGAAGAGTTTCCATTTGCGATCATCCCATTGAGATATCTGGAGCAATATTCAGATTGAAGTCCATGATAATTGAGTGCAACCCAATTCTAAAGGAAGAAGAAAGATAGCAGCATAAGTTTACCAAGCCATATCCACCAACAAACCCCAAATAAAAGAAAGGATCACAGAAAAACAAAATAAAATCATACATCTTCATTAATCGGTTTCTGATCCATCGAAGCTTGGGCTCCCTTGTTCTGCCACGAAAAAAATATAGACTCAAAACTAGAATCATGTAAACGGGGGCATCAGCAGCTAAACTACTCTGGCCAATCTTTGACACAGCAGAAAAAGGAAATGAAATAGAAATAACACTGAGCAATAATTCTCAGCGCTTTAAATATTGAGCCAAATCGATACACCTCAATTCTTTAGCAAATTTTGGATCATGATCTATACCTGTTTTTTGGATGTTCCAGCAGATTCTTCAGTGGATTCTGCTTTTTTCTTTTTGCCGTCAGATGAAAGATAATCCATAGACGGTCGGAGCTGAGCAACAGCATGAACAGGATTCAAGTGTAACTGCAAGTCAATAAGTCAAATTGAATAAGGTATCCAGTCCTCATTCCACAACAATGTTATCAAGCTTTCGAAAACGAGGAATAAATACCTTATCACCTGAGAGAACCCCAACAGCATAATCCAAGGTAGGAGGCTGCTTCCACGTTGTTTTCAAGGTCTACCAAAATGAACAAAAAACAGGAGAAATGAAGTTGCATCAAAAAGATTCAACTTGAATCAAGGTTAGAACTAAAACCCTACTTGCTTAGTCACATTTACTCCAAACTTAGAGTCATAGTTCTTCGAATGAACATCCATAGACAAATCTATTTCCACTTGCGATGTAGAAGGATTCACTCTAACCTGAAAGACACATAAATAAACAAAAAGATTAGAAACAGAAAAAAAAATGCAGATCAAGTAATAGCAACAAACAAAGAGAACACTCACTTCTTCACATCGTTCATCCATTTCATATGGACGCCAAGATGGTCTTAGAGGATATTGTAGAACATAAAGCTGTCACATTTAAGAAACACACACATTAATCAAAACTCCATAAACGATTAGCAAAACACAAAATGTCGTTTGACGAATCTAATCCAATGTAAACCTGAGTATCAGCATCAATAGACGGTTTGAAGAAAACGTCGATTTCACGAACAACAACATCTTCTTCTTCTTCTTCCTCCTCTTTCTCCTCCTGCAATGGAAGCTGATCTTCCACAATGAAGTCAGTTTCCGTCATCTCCGGCTCTTTATCCACTTTTGAATCAACCTCCATTTTCACAGGACCATTATACACCTCAGGTTCAACCTTAGTACCAGTGGACTTAGCATCAACGTCATGCTCACTCTTGCTCACAGACTCAGTTTCTTGTGACTGCGGCGCCGGCTGTTCCGGTTTAGCTACAGGGGCTTCCGGTTTAGGCTTCGGTTTAGCCTTCCCGGCACGGCCAGGTGCGAATCTACGGGTTTTAACAACCTCCTTTGGCCTGTCTTCATCATCAAAGTCCATATTTTTGCTTTCTTCCTGTGACAATGCAATCAAGGGTTTTATTCATCAAACAAAGCAAAGAACGATCAAACCCAATACGTAATGATAACAAGGTTTAGGAGCTCTATACATGGAAAAGATTCAAGCTTTGTCTAAATCACTTTGAACAAAAAAAAAAAAAATCAATACTTTCAGAAATCTTAATCGCTAAATCTTGAACTGTTACAAAGGGGAAGTGGGGAAAAGAGAAAGAGGGCAAGAACCTGTAAACCAACGACAGAAGGGTCACTGCTCCGGCCAAAAGAGAAACGTCGGCGAAGAAAGTGAAAGATTGAAGAAAAAAATGAAACCTTTAAGGTTCGAACCGGGGACGTGAAAACAAAAAAGATACAATGAGAGATGACTTCTCGAGCAGAGCTAATAGACCTTTTAGGTTTTTTTTGTAAAACGATATATTTATCTTTTTTTAATCATCGGTGATTAGGCCAAAACGAACCCGAACAATTTGTCGTATGTCTTTCTATATCTAGAATTCGACTAATGCTAGTTAATTACCCAGATTGATTGATAATATATTCAAATTTATAATCTAAATTTATAATCGAATTTTGTGATTTGCTACTTTATCTTTCTCCTCATCGTTGATATTGGTTGACGATTGGGTGAGATCGTCAAAATCAATATTTTCTTTTAGTATAAAACGACTAACTATTGAAGTATGGAGTATAATGAAGTAATTATAAGTTTATGTTGTAACTTTTGACTATTTTCAGTTTGTGTAGGAAACGACCATCCATTGAAGTTTGGGTAGACAAAAATATTTGACAACTTGTTTAGATAGATTTGACCATTTTCTCATAGAGACTCTTGATTTTAATTATAATATTTTAATTAAAATGATTATAGAAAGGTGAAATCTACATTACATTATATAAAATTTAGTATAATTTAAATATATAATCATTAAATGACATGATATATATTAGATCTGTTTTTTTTTTGTCATTAAATGAATCAAACGATCAGCTCAAATGAGCATATTTGACAGACATTTGTTTATATATTTGACTAATTGCGGAATGGACCGAACTTGTCGAGCCAAATAATCCGCTTTTACATTCAAGTTTCGAGGGACTAGTGATAAAGAAAAGGACGAGAATTCGTCCCTATCAGTAGTGATATTATCCAGGTAGACAGAGAAAGCCGGCCAGTTGAGAGGAGAAGACATCATCTTCACCAAGTTTGAACAGTCGGTAGCGAACTCTACATTCCTGAAATTGTGGCCAATCATACAACGCATGACCCACACTAGTGCTTCTACTTCAGCATGGAGTGGAGAAAGACTTCTGCGGAGATTCTTCGCACCCATCATTGGCGAAGGCTCCTGAGCATGCGAGCATGCTGACAGAACCATCCCAAACCTGCGAATGAGTCAGAGTCCTTCCAAGAACCATCGACAAAGCAACGATACTCAGTAAACATATTATTTAAGTTATTTATATGCCCCCGTAAACCGGTATTAGCCAGAGGAGGCACCATGGGGATCCCTAAGTCTTCAGTTTGGGCCTCCTTCCAAACCCTCGTCTCATCTCTTGCAATCCGAACTATTTCTGTTGGATTTGTATCCACATTTTCGAAAACCTTGGCATTCCTAGCTTTCCAAATATACCATAACATCCAGGGACAAAAACCATTTTGATCCCCTGTTGAAGTTAACCGAAGAATATAATCCATATTTGCATATACAGACTCAGTGGGGAAAGTTATAGCCTCAACGAGATGTAGGCTAAAGCCCAAGACTGACAAGCCGGTGGACATGTAAAGAGTTCATGGTTTACCGTCTCCGTCTGATCCGCGCAGCAAACATAGGTAGTATCACAATTAATCTTCTTTCGCTGCAAGTTAGCCGTAACCGAAATGCATCCTGTCAGAACCTGCCACATAAAATATTGTAATTTTGGTGGACACCGCGCTTTCCAAACCCTTGCTAAAAGTGGATTAAAGTCCGGCCCACATATACTCATAATCGGTAATTTTGGATCAGGCAGCCGCGCTATGTGATAACCAGATTTTACCGTGTATTTTCCATTTTTAGTAAAGTGCCATCCTATGTTACCTTCCATTGGTCTGTTACCGATTGGCAGGACATTTATTATAGATACATCTACCGTAGAGAAATGCTCCTGAAGCACTTCCACCCGCCAAGAGTTTGTTTGACGTTAATTGTATATATTGAGTTAAGACCAAAAAGTAAAAGTATATATATATATATCAACAATTAATAGTTTCATAGCACAATTAAGAAAGTTTCATTGTGAACTGAAACATAAATTTTATTGGACTTAAAGAAAGACTAAACCCAAGATGTAATCATAACAAAATAATTGGAGTCCCAAAAATAAAACGTATTCCCTGAAAATTCAGACAATTGCAATTCATAGTTCTTTCTATTCGCATTTAACGCTACTCAAAAAATAAATAAATAAAGTCTATGTTGTATTTGCCGGCATTTTTGTGTACTTTGTAAAAACAAATTATGATTGATAACCAAAATACAAAATTATATCATTTTAGTTCAGAAATGTAATTTTTGAATATTATTTTTATGTTTATGTGATAAATATTTTACAAAAAAAAAAAAATGAGCCGCGTATATTTTATTTAACACAAGGTTTAAAGTGTTATTCAGTTATTTTAATTTTGGAGGTTAAATACTTAATTGGATGTTAATGCCTACAACTAAATTGCATTGATTATCCTAAAGATTTCATTTCAACTTAGATTTGGTTATTCACTAATTGGATCTACTGTATATAGTAGTAGTAGTAGTAGCTGCCGACAAAACACAATGATCACTGATCACTAAGTCACTAATAATCAATCAGTCACCAAAGCAATAATAGTGGGACAAATTAAACACAAGAAGACCCAAAGGAAAGCATGAAACACGTTCGAATGAATATGGGACCAAAGCATCAACAAGGTTTTGTAGCAGTAGTCCAATACCTTACTTAGTAACAAAATAACAAATTTATTTTCTTTACGTGTATATGTATTTTAACAAAAGACCAAATCAAACATAGCGTTCACGTTCATGGATGGTTGCAAAAAAACCAATAAAATTCTTGTTTATAGCTGTTAAAAAAGAAAAAAGAAAAAAAAACTCTTGTTTATATCTTAAGATATACAATTGGAATATAAAAAAGGCCAAACATAATAAATATTTATTTTGAATTTGAATAGAATTCAAGATAAATACGTAATTTCACACTTTATTTTATTCGACGTCATGTTATTGGATATCCAAATTTCCAAAACGGATCAAAGTGGATTTTTTTGCATATATCAATCATTCTTTGTGGGAAATTTTTGTTTTTGGTCCTACTAGCTTAAGATATTTTGTCGACTAGATACGTTAAAGTTTAAACATAGAATAGTATTAAACTTAAGACAAATAAACAAACCACTTGTCAGAATCAGTGACTCACAACATTATTTTTATTAAATTTTCTCATCGTTTTATTTTTCTTGCAAAAAAACATAACACAATTCTCCAGGAAACAAAATTTGTATAATTGAAGAGAGGCCAAAATTCTAAAAGAAGAAGAAACTTAGGGATCAAGAATCGGTGATGTCAGGTTCCCGATGGACGTTGATGGATCTACCGTCGTATCTGTCGTCATCATGGGCATTCCGGTGGCCGGAGGTGAATCTTTCTTACCTGAGCTCCGGTTGGAACATGAGATTGTTGTCTTTGTCGGGTAATCTCTCCATAATCGATGATCTTTTGTGGAGTTTTGTCTCGATCGTTGAATCTTTAGCTATCGCTACTACCATCTGTTGCTTCTTCTTGTTTTGTGGTTGTACCCTCTAATTAATTCCTTTTTTTTTTCTTTTCTTTTTTTCATTATTTAGTTTCCAAAATCTTATTGCCAACTAAAATCTGTGTAAGTATAATAAGCAATAAAATTCGAGACTTTTCTAGCATCCTCCATATTCTCTGATAAGTAACGAAGACTTCCCAATTTTGTTGCTATGAGACTATTTTAGCACTATTATTTTGGTCAAAGGTTTCTTTAGTACTCATTGATGATCTAACTACTATGCCATACTTAGTTGTACACTAATTAATTCATATATATGATTGTATATGTGGAAGTGTATAGACATTTCTGTTAGCTTTGGTCCAGTTTAGTTTTCGGTTTTACGTATTCTATACACATGCCAATATTAAAGTCACTTTGGCTTACTATATATGGTATTGGTTTTTCAATGGTGGATTAAAAGTTTTCAGATCTGAAAGATCCAAACGAATTACTATGGTATCCCCTATACATAATGAAAATCCTAAACGTAACCAAACCAAGTTATATAATAAGTCGATATCTCTGTATTTTTGGAAAGAATCAAATACAGATTTTGAATGGTGGTTGCAACTATACATCTACATAGCAAAAATATTGGTATGGTAGCTTAAAAGAAAACGTAGATGATCTATTTCCATATATAGTTAAATACTTAAACGAGACGTAGGTGATACGTAATTACGTATAGCTAATTCTATTTTTAAATACGTGCGAGTCAATACTTTTTTTTTTTTTTTGCTATTGAAAGGTTTCCGTTGTAAAGAGTTTCCGGTGAGGTGACTAAGTTAATTTATTCTATTATAAGAGATTACATTTTAATGTTGTGATCAGTTTTGTTGGAAGCCAAAACAAGAGGCAATGTTACAATCGATCGTAAAGATGGTGGAGTTTGTTGAACAATATATAGAGCTAACAGTTTTGATTTTTCAAAGAAGATTGGCACAACAATACAAATATACATTTGATATAAAATTCAAAAACTTAACGATAAATTCTTATAATCAATAGGTGAAATAACATTTTCACCGCCGAGAAAGTGGGCTGGTGGTAGGATGGGTGAAAGGGTAAAGCTCCCACATTTCAAGTTCGATTTTTTTTTGTTGATGTTTTTAACATTTTTCTGGGAAGTCTGTAAATTGGATTTTGACCCAATTGATTTACTTATTAGTCAAAAATACAGGCGGCATGACTATCCTTAGACATTAGCCGGAGAGCATTATAAACTTGGAGTTGGACAATGTGGTAGTTCAACATTTAGATGTTGACAACGAGTCCACATGGTAATACTTCGGTACGTTCCCAAGACGGACCGGATCAACTGATCGAGTATATAAAAAAACATTTTCATCCATGTACATCATACCTTCCGACAAACTAATAAAACCGATGGAGGAAAGGTGACGTCTCTTAAGTAGTAAGTAGGGAAGTTGTTAAATCCCTTACATATGATTTTCGATTGTGGTAAGCAGGAAAAGTTATCAAGAATCAACACACTTAAGAATAATAATGGATATGTACGTAGAAGCCGAAGCACGACGCTATGAAACAAAGTCTTACTTTTTTTTGGTCGTGGAAAACAAAGTCTTATATAGTTTATCAATATGACTTATATTATTGGGCCTAGATTAGTTGATTTATCATGACTTATATTATTATTTTTTATATAAATGATGGATAATTATATAGTTTAATTCTATTAGACTAAAAAAGAACGTGGTTTGGTGATGTATTAATTATTAAATTCGAGAGAGTTATTGGGCCAATGTCAAGAAGCAAGAAGAAGAGTCGAGACCAGAAAAAAAAACCTAATATTTTCTTATAAAGAAAACCTAATATTCCTCTTCATTTTTTTTTGTGTTCGCCGCTTGTGAGTACATTGTTGAATTCAGTTTTGTTTCGAATCCAGAAGTACGTAGAAAACTCACGTTGTTACTCTTTTAGGGTATTCTAGACTCGCTAACGTTTCGAAGCTGAATAGTGGAATTATATCATATCTAAGCTTCGTCGGATTCGTGGGATAGTCTGTGTTTGCGTTTGGAGCATTGAGAAGACATCTTAGCGAATTGTTGTATGTATTAACAACGATGGAACAACAATGGTATGTTGCTTTGTTTTGTTTATTGACAATATTGGTGGCCAAGAAAAGTGTTACCCTTCATTCATCTTTACAAGAGTATTTATACATAAGAGTGGAAGCCCTAGAGAATATTCTAGACTTGATATACAAGATACAATAAGATACAATAATAGGAAATATCTAATTATTAACATAATAATCCCCAATACTCCCCCTCAAGTTGCATGAAGATCGCGAATGCCCAACTTGTCAATGAGAAATGTGAATTGTGGAGCACCAAGTGACTTAGTGAGGAAGTCGGCGAGCTGGTTGGATGTGTGAATCTTCTTAGTAGCAATAAGACCCTCTTGAATCGCATCACGAACAAAGTGGCAGTCAGCTTCAATATGTTTGGTACGCTCATGAAACACCGGATTAGCTGCAATATGAAGGGCGGCCTGATTATCACAAAAGAGAGAGACTGGAGCAGTATGACGGATACCAAAACAAGAAAGAAGCTCATGTTCCCATTTGATTTCACAAGTAGTATATCGCATTGCCCTATATTCAGCTTCAGCGGAAGAGAGAGAAACAGTCTTCTGCTTCTTAGTTTTCCATGCAACAGGTGACCCGCCAAGAAGAATAACATATCCCGTCAACGACCGGCGAGTGAGCTTACAAGCGGCATGATCAGCATCACAATAAGCGGAGAGGTGGAGATCACCATGAGCAGCAAGGAGAATACCTTGACCGGGGCAACCTTTTAGATATTTCACCACTCTAAGCGCTGCCTCCCAATGCTTAACCAGCGGCTTCTTAAGAAACTGGGCAAGAATATGTATAACATAGGAAAGATCAGGACGTGTAACCGTGAGGTAAACTAGACGACCCACAAGACGACGATACTTTTCGGGATCAGCATAAGGACCATCTTCGGGATGAAGTAACCGATGATTTTCCTCCATAGGAGTAGCAACCGGTCGGCTGGCAAGTAGACCACACTCATCAATAATATCCAAAGTATACTTCCTCTGTGACAAATAAATACCCTTCGGTGAGCGAGCAACTTCAATACCAAGAAAGTATTTTAATGGACCCAAATCTTTCATCTTAAAACATTCACTCAAATAGCACTTAAATTCAGAGATAGCACGCGAGTCATTCCCGCCAATTAACAAATCATCAACATACACAAGGACATATAACCGCATATCACCACGAGATAAGTAGAATAAAGAGTAATCCGTGTATGTCTGAGTAAAACCATATCCAAGCAAAGCTTGTGTGAGCTTTGCAAACCAACACCGCGGAGCTTGGCGCAAACCATATAAAGATTTACGAAGACGTAAGACTTTATTAGAACCAGAAGAATGAAAACCCGGCGGAAGCGTCATGTAAACCTCTTCATCCAAATCACCATGAAGAAATGCATTATGCACATCCATTTGATGAACATCCCATTGCTTTACTGCTGCAACCTTAAGAAACATACGAATAGTTGTCATCTTAGCCACAGGAGCAAAAGTCTCTTCAAAGTCTTTCCCAGCAATTTGTCGATCACCACGGATAACCAAACGTGCCTTATATCGTTCAATAGACCCATCTGAATGGTGTTTAATGGTAAATATCCAGCGACACCCAAGAGCCTTCTTACCCGGAGGAAGATCGGTGACATACCAAGTATCATTCTCTTCAAGAGCCCCAATTTCAAGACCCATAGCCTCACTCCAAACTTTCAACTGAACAGCTTCAGCATATGT